CCCGCCACTGCGCCCCGCGCCAGCGCCCAGCCCGCCGCCCGCGCCGCCCAGGCGCGCGTCTCCTTATTTGGTCAAATGACTCGGCGGGGGTTCTCGAGGGCGGGCGGCGCCGGCTGCACTCCGCCTGCTCAGCCGCCACCGCCGCTGCGCCACGGTCTGCCCGGTCCCGGACACCCCGGCCGCAGCGCGTGAGTACTCGCCCCCGCCGCGCGGCCACAGCCCGACCTCGCCGCACGGCTCGCCTTAGGGAGCTGCCCTGCGACGAGTGGAGGGACACCTGGGGCAGCCGGACCGGCGGGCGGAGACCCGGGAGAGGGGAGCCCAGCTGTGTAGGGGACACCCTGAATGGAGGAGACAGACCCAGGGAGACGACAGCCCAGCTGTGCAGGGGACACCTGGGATGGGGAGCCCGAAATGGAGGAGACAGACCCAGGGAGAAGGGAGCCCAGCTGTGCAGGGGACACCGGGGATGGGGAGCCCGGAATGGAGAAGACAGACCCAGGGAGAGGGCAGCCCACCTGGCAGGGTACACCGGGGATGGGGAGGCCTAAATGAAGGAGACAGACCCAGGGAGAGGCAGCCCAGCTGTGCAGGGGACACCCGGAATGGGGAGCCAGAAATGGAGGAGACCGACCCAGGGAGAGGGTAGCTCAGTTGTGCAGGGGACACCAGGCATGGAGAGCCCGAAATGAAGGGGAGGGACCCAAGGGAGAGGGGAGCAAGCTGGGAAGCGGAGATCCTGAATGGGGGACCTGAATCATGGGGGAGAAGAAGGAACTCGAACCATGGGAAGCGACCCCCTCAGAAGGTGCAAATGGAACTGGGAGAGGAGGCGAATATGGGGTTCAGACCCTCCACCCTTCCTAGGGAAGACTGCAGTCCTGGAAAGGTGGGTCACCGCCAGGCCGTGGGAGAAGATGAACCGCCCACAGCTTTGCCCATCCCCTCCTGTGGGGCAAAGGCTGGTCCCCCCTGTCTGTGGGGCAAAGGCTGGTCCCCGCTGTCTGTGGAGGCAAAGGCTGGTCCCCTCTGTCTGTGGAGGGAGGCGACTGCTGTACCTCCCCAAGTAGAATATCTGGCTTTCTGGTCTGCACCTAGATGTCCAGACATTTCCCTTTGGAAGAAAGAAGTGGAACTTGCACTGTGAACATGCATCCTGCCTCTTGCAGAGATTTAAAACCCTGAGCCATCCACAGGATTAAAAAAAAAAAAAAAAAAAAAAAAAAAACCTTTCAAATGAAAAGAACTCTAACCTATAGGTTATACTCTTAAGATATCTTGTGGAAAGAGACTGTTCGATGTTATTTCTGCTTTTAAATGAAGAATTAGCCATTTTTGCTCTCTAGCCCTTAGCTGTGTCTTCAGAACTAGCTGAATGCATTTTGATGAACTATATAGCTCTCTTCTGTCAAAACCAACTTGTGGCTTGAACGTTTTTGCACATATTTTGAAAGTAATGTCACAGTTTGGGCTTATAATCATGAGAATTGCCTTCAGTACAATACCTAAATGTGTCCTCTCACATCTGCTTAATGTGCGTTTTGCAGGAGAGAGAGAGAGAGAGAGAGAGAGAGAGAGAGAGAGAGAGAGAGAAGGAATGTATGTTTCTGGTAACATCTGTGGGGGGGAGGGTTGGTTTTTTGTTTTAGATAAGGTCTCTTTTTATGGCCCAGGCAGCCTGAAACTCACTGTGTAACCCAGGGTGGCCTCGAGTTAGTGGCAATCCTCCTGCCTCAGACTTCAAAGTGCTGAGATTAATGGTGTGACTCATCACATTATTGTGGTTAAGGTGATTTAGAACCCCCTCCCCCCCAAAAAATTTGTACCAATTCTTAGAGTCCACGAATTTCTAATCCAATAATCAAAGGCAGATAAAATCAAATTCAAAAACATTTCTTTTTTTCACATGGATTTCAGATTCAACGCTCCCTAGTTTTTTGTCTTTTTTGGAGGGGGTCTTTTTTCGAGACAGGGTCTCCCTGTAGCCCCAGCTGTCCTGGAACTCACTGTGTAGACCAGGCTGGCCTTGAACTCACAGAGATCCACCCGCCTCTGCCTCCCTAGTCCTGGGATTAAAGGCGTGGGCCACGATACCCATTCTCCCCTAGTTTTCATGTGGATCAGTGGGGAGCATTGGAGGGCACTGTTCTGGCCTTTTCTGCTCAGCCTCCTTTCATTTTAGTCACAGAGACACAGCACAGGCAGATGTAGAAGGCTCAGCTGGCAGATGCTCTTGGACTGGAACCAAGAGGTCACATCTGAATTCCTCAACCCACAGGGCCTTGGTCAAGTCATTGAATCTACTGGTGCCTCAGTTTCCTTCCAGAGAACCAGATTATGATGATGCTTTTATGGCAGGGTTGTTACATAGTGTGTGTATCACAAACAGTATGTATAGATTTCATAGCTTCGTGTTCACAGATAAAGAAACTGGAACAGAGTAGCCAAAGTAACTTTATTGTCCAAAATCCCCTAGCCTGTATAAATAATGGCTCTGGGACTTGCCACCAGAGAGATTGACAGCTGGATTCTGACCACTGTGCTCTACTCAGGCACACTGAATGAATACTTTGTTGAGGCCTTCCTTGTACTGCATGTTTTTACTCAAAATTACTTGTTAAACCCCTCTAATAGTGAGAGATAGCTGAATTGCAAACAAAAATATCCAGTAAGACATAGGAAAAAAAAAAATCAGAGGGCACCAAGAGGTCTGCGTTATACCTCTGTTCTACACTGAGAGCTAGTTACCCAGCATCTAACACAGAGACGTTTGTAGGCAGCTGTGTTCAAATATGATTTGTCTCCAAGGTTCATGTGTTGAGACCTTGGTTTTCAATGTGGAAATGTTGGAAGGTAAAGCCTTTAAGAGGCGGGGCCCAGGGGCTGGAGAGATGGCTGAGCAGTTAAGAAGACTTGCTGTTCTTACAGAGGACCCATGTTGGGTTCCCAGCACCCACATGCCAGCTCATAACTATCTGTAATTCCAGTTCCAGGAGATCTGATGCCTTCTTCTGGCTTCTGCAGGTACCACACACACACACACACACACACACACACACACACACACACACGCATGCACGCACGCACGCACGCACATGCACACTGTGCACATACATGTAGGAAAAACAGTCATACACATAAAATTTAAATTAAAGCCAAGAGGGAAATTGTTCATGAAATGGAATAGACTAAAGGAAAAGGGTGGTGAGTGTGTGAGAGGTGGGGTCCTGGGACATGGAAGCCAGAGACTAAGCAGCCAATGATTTGTTCCTTGGAGACAGAGGAGCCTGATGAGAGAGCAGGTGGCTTTCCTTCTGTAGTATGAAAGTCAAACAGCATCATTCTCTTGGGCACACCCCAGATAGCGGTGGTAAAGCTCTGCTGAATCTCCCTCCATCCCATTGTGTCTTATGAACTTGAAGTAGCCTATCCTTCTGATTGCTTCACCAGAGTTGTTCTGAAGAGACTAGACTGGCATGCTTTGAGAATAATGGATCTGACAGGATCTTAAAGATGACTTGGCGCTAGAGCTACAAGTACTTGAGCTCCTTCAGAGAGTGTGTTTGATCTCAGCTTCCCAGGGCCTAACACTGTTGGAGGGGCATCATGGTTACTCAATACATTCTTGTTGGCTGTATTAAAAAGTCTGAAGCACATCAAAAGAATCAAGTGTGACTCTTTATATTGGTAGAGTTCAGATAAGAAACATGACATTTATTGTCTTTCATTATTGAATAATCCAGGGATCATTCAGAAGAAAGCTTTTCATTTCTTATACAAAATGTATCTTAAAACTCTCACAGGCAAGTCAAGATTTTCTTGTTAATTTTTGAAAGTTACTAGTGTGTGTAGTACACTACTCACCTTGACCTCTGCCCTTAGGTGCACTAGCCAATGAGGGCTCATTGAATGAATCAATAAGTATACACCTTACAACCTAAAGCCCTTTGCTAGCCAAACATCTAGAGGTTAATCTCAAGTGAATTCTAGGTATGCTGTTCTATTTTTAGACATAGCCCTATCATTTGAACTGATGCCCCCTCCCTTTCGCATGAATCTCTACTTAAACAAGTAAACTAGACTAAAGAGAGCAGTGCAGGATAAACCAAGTTGGCATGTCTGTATTTCATTGGAAGGAAAACAAATAAAATAGTGCAGATATTCTCTGACCAAGACCCTGGATATAAGCGTCCCGTGCTTGTGGGTTCTGGTGGAGCAACTTTGATTATAAACACTAAGTCCACAGGGCATTTTGCTGATATCTGGAGCCCATGTCAGGATCTGTACATTCTTCCCAGGGCCTGGGTGTGTCTCCTGGCTGGCTTTTTGGTTCTTGACCTGACCATGCTGTATCCTGAACTATGCAGCTGTGTGTTCAGATAGATTCAGAGTCCAAACACAATAAGAAAGTCCACCCTGCTGTGAAAGCAGCAGATTATCTGGAAAGAGGGATAAAAACAGTGTCAGTGAAGCTCTGGATCTGTTACATCAGGAATTTTAGTGGCATCAGCTGCTAAACCATATCACTTCGGGGTAGACTATACACATAAAACATTCTACATTTTCAGCTTCATTTTTGCCTGTCTCTGTACTAGGAGATGTTTGCGTTCATCTAAATTCTCTATTCATTTCTTCATTTGTTTTGCACATGTTTACAAACTCCCTGTGTGTATTCCCTGCTGGTGTGATGTTAGTAACACATACTGCCACCTGCCCAATGCTCATGGTTGGTTGGCACAGGCAATCACCCTGCATTTTGCACTATATTTTTAAAAAGAACTCAAGTGTAACAGATCAGCTTCCTAATTCTTGCTAAAGTACTGAACTTGGTTGCTTATTAGCATTGGAATTTCCTACCTGGGTCTGTGGTGACATTTAAAGATCAGCAAGGTGGGAGCCAGGCCTGTTGTTCCATGCCAGAAATCCTAGCACTCCAGAGCCACAGGCACAAGGATTGCACAAAGATGAATGAATGAATGAATGAATGAATGAATGAATGAATGAATGAATCAACTTTCCCAGGGGCTGGCTGATTGTAGCTGTTTCTGCAGTGTGTTTTAGGATAGGCTAAAGAGCAGTCATAGGTTTCTGTTTAGAAATGCTGCTTGGAGAAGTCACATGAAGCAAAGCCGATACACATGAAACAGAGTTCGTGCCCCCTGGGATCTGGAAAAGAAAATGGGCACTT